TGGTGCAATTGTGTACTCTCCCCCTTCAGTAAGTATGTATCATAATGTCCTTTAATTTTTTTCAAAGGTAGTAAATAATCCATTTTCTTTACTTCTTAAAAAGTAACCTTTGTTCTGAATTCCAGCTATTTTTTCTTCTATGAATCTTTTCATCAAATAGCTGTGGCTTAGTATTTGTCTCCCCAATAGCTTCTTTATTCTTAGATTCTGTTTATTTCTTCTCTCCACTTTTAAATTCCCCTTTTTCTCATAGTGAATTCTAGCCTGTTTGTTTAACCTTCAAATCCACTCTTCCTAAAGATTATCAATATAAGACAAACACTAACGGGTTTAAAAATTATCCCAAGAATTTAGGAGTCACCACATGGATCTAAACAGAAAGATACATTTTTGAGGTTCAGCAGACGGTACTTGCTTTGAATACAGACAAAGGTAGTTATTAAAACCACTAGGATGGCAATCTTATGTGTTTATAAAATTTCTCCTGGAAATAATTTAGAAAGGGTCATATGAGCATCTTTTATGGAGAGAACCAAGGTTTGGGAGTCAAAAGAGACGGCAGATCAAGTAGGATAATCTCCTTATCTCCAAGGCTACACTTTAACAGTTGGGGACACGGGTTCTGACGATGGAAGAAAATATATAAAAATGTAACTTCATGGGAAAGCTATCACACTGGTTTAGCATACTATTTCAAAATTATGCAACTTAAACCTTTTTTTTTTTTTTTTTTTTTTTGAGGCAGAGTTTCACTCTTGTTACCCAGGCTGGAGTGCAATGGCGCGATCTCGGCTCACCGCAACCTCCGCCTCCTGGGTTCAGGCAATTCTCCTGCCTCAGCCTCCTGAGTAGCTGGGATTACAGGCATGCACCACCTTGCCCAGCTAATTTTTTGTAGTTTTAGTAGAGACGTAACCAGGATTGTCTCGATCTCTTGACCTCGTGATCCACCCGCCTCGGCCTCCCAAAGTGCTGGGATTATAGGCGTGAGCCACCGCGCCCGGCCCAACTTAAACCTTAATAATTCAGAGAATATAGACTACTATGGTTCAGATGTTTTATCCTCACCAAAACACATGTTGAAATCTGATCCCCAATGTAGCAATGTTGGGAAATTGGTCCTAGTGGGAGACATTTGGGTCATGGAGGCTGATTCCTCAGAAATGGCTTAGTGGTGTTCTCTCAGTAATAAAGGAGTTTTCAGTCTTGAAAAACTAGATTAGTTCTTGCAGGAATTGAATATTTCCCATAAGAGCAGACTGTTAAAATGTGAGTTTCCTCCTCCTGTCTGGTCCTTCTTCGTACTTCTCATCTTCCGCTTTGACTATCTACCATGTTTTGATTGAGCACAAAAGCCTCACCAGAAGTGAAGCACATGCTGAAGTCATGCCCCTTGAATGTTCTAGCATGCAGAACTGTGAGCTAAATAACCTATCTTCTTTGTAAATTACCCACTCTCAAGTATTCTGTTAAAGCAACATAAAATGGACTAGGACATAGATTAAAACAATACTTTGTTAAATGCTGACCCTAAGTAGCATTTTTTTTTTTGTATTTTCCATTGTGAGCTACATAATAGCATTAAAAATGTTCCAAGTAGATTGATTATAGAGTTCTTGGACATGTTATACTATTCATTAAATAAAATGAAGTCGGATTATATTTGTTCTTAAAGCTATCAAGTGATCAATAATTAATTTGATTCATCTGGTATTTTTCTTTTTTCAATAAATTAATTTTAACTGCACAAGCTGTATGGTATGTTTCTCATCAGAAAATGCTAAACATAATTTGAAGGAACAGCAGTATTTGCAAAATAACAAAATAACACTATTGACGATAAAAATGCTAACACTATATAAAAATTTCTTTATAATCTTAGCAGATGTGTGGCATTGTTGGTGCTGAAATCAGTTTACAATAATATGCTTTCCACTTTTAAAGAAGGTTTTAAACATTCTCTGACTTTTAGACTTTATTATTCAACACAAAAGCCTCACAACATCATAAAGCAGATAAGTTAATGCTCCATTTGACAGTTTGAAGACTGTAGAAACAAAGACATATTACTCTTTTTTAATTGTGTGACATGCTTTCATTTTCCTCATATCTTTTCCTTTTTGTGGGGCAGACGAAATCTCACTGTGCCGCCCCGGCTGGAGTACAATGATGTAATCTTAGCTCCCTGCAGCCTTCACCTCCTGGGCTCAAGTGATTCTTCTGCCTCAGCCTCCCAAGTATCTGGGACTATAGGCGCTCACCACCATGCCCCGCTAATTTTTCTATTTTTGTAAAGACAGGGTTTTGCCCTGTTGGCCAGTCTGGTCTCAAACTCCTAGCCTCAAGTGATCTGCCTGCCTCAGCCTCCCAAAGTACTGAGATTACTGGTCATTTTCCTCATTTCTTATTAGTCATAGTTAAAACTTTAAGCAAGGAATATATTTAAACCTGTAAAAGAATGTTAACTGTAAGTATTTACAAAAGTGGCTTAATAAAAACTTGTTTATTTTTTGCATTTTAGTGGGCTTCTATGACTTTTTTTATAAAACAGATATTCTAATGAGGATTATTTTTTAAATTATTCTAATTTTAAAAAGTAAAGAGTAAAACACGTATTTGGTGTTTTAATACGGCTTGAAATCTTTTGATACCTTATTTTAAAGTATGGTGTGGATATTTTATTTCTATCATATTAAGGCTTTAAATTACTTCATAATTATATGTAGAGAGAGAAAAGGATGGACTAAGGTATGAATCTGGGGGGGAAACTTCTCATGTAGTATTATGATCTGCCTATTTGACTAGCTTAGTAGCTCTGCCTACACTCAATTCATATTGTTTCCTTAGGTATAGTTTAATATAGTTTTAAGTGGTTTGTTGTCTTAATCATAAAACTGGTTTGATCCAACAATATACTTTGCAGAACACCATGTAGGTTTAGCTTACTTCACTTTTTTTTTTTCATCCAATTGATGTGAGATAAGATCTTGCAATTCTTATTATTGAATTACAGAAATTAAGTATAATTTACTTACTTAGGGCTTTGAGAATTCTTGCTCTGACTTAACCTAAATTTATAGTTTAATATTAAAACTACTGGTGAGATTGGCAGGAATAGGGCTGAGGTAATAACGAATGGTGGTAGGAGGAGGGTTGGTTTTATGCTTTAAAATTGCAATTTTATTGTTATGTTATTAGCTGTTGGGAACATCATTAGTGATGTGGAAAAAATTAGATATATATCAAAATACAGGTTGAGAAGAGCTATGATAGCCATGAAGGTAGGTATAATGAGGGTTTTTTGTTGTTGTTGTTGTTGTTGTTATTTCTTGAATGATAGCTCATTTGGGTAAAAATCCTGTTAGCAGGGCATTTCTTCTAGAGATAGTGAAGTGACAAGGATTATAGATGATAGTAATGGTAATTTATTTCACATATAGGATAGTGATAATGTTGTGTTACTTATATTTGCACTGAATAGTATAAATATGGTTATTGTTAATATTAGGTAAATTATTAGATTTGATAATGATGGTGGGGCTATAAATTAAAATTGTGATTATTCAACCTACGTGGGCAATTGATGAATAGGCTAGAATTTTTTGTTGCGTTTGATTGTATCCTCCTCAACCTCCTATTAGAAGGAATAGAACTGCAATTGCTAACATTATATTTAGGTCTATTGAGAAAAAGATTTAGAATGTAATAGAAATTGGGGCTAGTTTTTGTCACATAGAAAGGATCACAGCTGATGCTGGAAAAAATCCCTTGTGTTACTTCTGGAACTCAGAAGTGAAAGGGGGAATTCCCAGTTTCACTGCTAAAGCTACAATAATTATTGGAAATGCTCTTTGGTTTAACATATTTATAAATACCAGGATAAACTAGTTTGGTAGTAGTCATTTAACTTTAGTGACTCATAGGTCTGCAATGTCCTGGTTACTGAACCCGCATAACTCACGTTAGAATACTGAAGAAAACACTGGACTGGATATTAGGGTTCCTAGATTCCATTCCTCCATTGTCTAAAACCCACTGTATAACCTTGCAGAAATTCTCTTGGCCTTGATTTCATATCAGCCAAAAGAGGAGGTTGATGTAGATAATCTCTTAGGTCTCTCCCAGCTCTGATAGCTATGATTTTAGCTTTCCAATTTATTTTTCATTTTCATGATTGCATGAAAAAATGCCTTGCATACTTCCCTTCTCTGTGAAATAAATACATTAACAAAGAAATAAGTTTATTCAGTGGAAAGAGTAGATTCCTATTAAAATATTTTTGTTATTCATATTGTTGTTGAATCATATGGATTTCACTGAGAGATGGTTAACAACTGGCAACAATTTTGGTCTAATATTGTTCTAGCATTACAAACTAACTGTAGTTCTAAAACTCCATCAGGACTGCACAGAGATTATAAGCTGCCTTATTTATTGTCAGCTTCATGTATTTGACCTGTATTTTAAAATGAGTCAAACAAATTATAAGTTTTTTCTATGAAAAGATATGGATATTATTATAGCATCACCACACAGGAGGCAAAGCCTGTTTTGTTTTTTTTTTTATGCTTTAAAGTGTTTTTGTTTGTGTGTTTTTGACCATAAATGTATTTTCAAAATTCACAAAGCATAAAAATGCCAATACTGTAGATTATTTATAATAATCCATAATATATAATAATTATTTATTATAACTATAATAATCGAAACTTCTTTATAATCAATGCATTTTCAGCATCATCTGAAATGATATCAGTTTATAATGATATACTTTGCATTTTTGAGCAAGTTTTGAACATTCATTGAATTTTCAACTTTATTAGTAATCTCAAGTCTCACAACAATGCCGTAAGGTAGACAGCTTAATGTCCCATTTGGACGATGGAAAACCTCAGGTAAAAAAATTACATGATTCCTACAAAATCATTCAATAAGTTAGACACCTAATTAGAAATAAGACATAGAAATTTATTTTTTTTAAATTCCACTTTTCCTTTTCTTAGATTTTCTTTTAACCTTTTTTATTTATTTCTCTCATTTGTGCTTAAATATCACTGAGCTCAATTGAATTAAGCACAGAAATATTTAAATCAGTACACATAGTTTCACAGATACTTATACACAAAAAGGTATCACAGTCTTACCACATATAAATAAAATTACACAAAACACATATCCACTGTTATAGAAATTACATAGAGGAAGGTGATTTTTTGGTAGACAGATTTGCTTTCCCATTTCTACTAAAGGAATTGTTTGGCTTTAATATGAAATATGCTCATCATCAATCAAGCCCATCTTTAATATGCTAAATATTCTTGAAAACTTTAAAAGTTTCTGTACTATATGCAAACTATAGGAGTTTAAGGGAAGGAAACTAAGAATTTAAGTTTTTACTTGGCTTTCTGCAGTGGTATTTAGTTATTTCTACTAGTCATCGACTCAGAAATTTGATGACATTTTGTTTTTAAAGAGGAAATGTGCATGATAAGCTTTTTGTGTTTATGTCTTACTGAGATATAAATAATAACTGGGAGATATTTTTAGTTGTATTTCTTTCATTTATATATATTACATATAAACACATATACATGTAAATTAACAAAATGTTCCAACACTAGGGAAATGAATAGTCTAGATTTTTCTCTAATAAATCAGAGCAGCAAATCTAATCTCATATTTAAGATCTATGGATGAATATGGATGCATCTGTGTATTCACAACCATGCTGACAGATGATGGTCACATCCGATGACTACTTGTCTATACGCAGACATAGTTCAAAATATATTGAGACCTAAAAGTGATTTTGAAAAAATAGTAGCTCACCAAATTTGTTTTACCATGTAATTAAAAGTACTTTGAAATCAATTACATGGCTTTAAAGAAGCAAGGATTAATTTTTTAGCAGTATGGTAAGTTTTATTGATTCTAAAACACATTATTAATGATAAATAGTAGCTAATCCATATTGAGAACCTACTGTGTGCAGACACTATTGCAAGTGTTTTACTTGTTTTAATTCATTTAATTCTCAGAATAACTATATGAGGTAGTGCCACTTTTATTCCCATTGTAGAGGTGAAAGAGTTAATGAAGAGAGATGTTAAGTAACTTGAGCAAGGACACAAGGCTCGTATGAGGCAGAGACAATGTTCCAGCTTGAGCAGACTGGTTCAAAGCCCGTGCTTTCTACCACTACTACCATCACTAGGATTTGAGCTGTATGTAATACTTATCTGAAAAAATTGAGTTCATTTATCTCAAAGCTTGCCAAGGCATTCATTTCCATGTAACAATGATTTATTCAGTGCATAGTATGTCAGGCACTGTCCTAAGTGCTTCACACAAAGCTTTACACAAATCAGCTCTGATATTCTGATAGACAGCTGACCTGATACTCTGACAGATGTCTGACTTGTCAGAGAGCTGAAGACTTTCAAAAGTACCAGTTGCCATATACTGATATAAATATTTCTACGTAAATAATTAGGTGGCTCATTTCATAAAAAATTAGAGTGCTTGTCCTGTTACTAATTATTTGAAACCAACTCTCCTAGCCTTCATCCACTTCTATTATTCTCCTTGTACTCATGGAAAAATGCTCCCAAGTTTCTTCCCCGCTTTCTGGGCTGACTGCAACTAACATATGGATGGCAAGATGCCGTTAAAGAATAAATCAGAAATGCTTCTTAACAACACAATATACTTCCCGAAGCTAGTGCTTGAGTATATAACACTGTGTTAACAGCAAGTTCAGATACATTTAAATACTTTTAAAATGTCAACTCTTGAGGTTAATGATAGTCCTCTGTATTATTAGATATAAGCCCAGGTTAGAGTTCAAGTTATATTGCAAATCCCATGCTTCTCCATTCTTGCACACTGAATGTGCACTTATTAGTTCTAGAATGTTGAAGTTCTGAGTCTTCAAGGCAGACCGCTTTTTTCACAAGGAAGAATCTCAGGTGCTCCAGGTATTATATGAGGTATAATTTTGGCAGCACTGGCAGCTCTTCATATCCTGTGGAAAATGATGTTCCCGTCTTCGATTGAGGGAAACCACTTATTTATCTTATTAGGAAGTAATACAAGCAGCTTCCCTTGTGAGTAAGGAATAGGTGCTATCTGTCATTTGCTGTCTTCTTCCCTCATGGTAGACAGAGTTTGGTCTTACGTACGTAAAGGCCACCTCAAGATATTAGATTTGTCTGGGTCTGAAGGGTTTCTTGACAGCAACCAAAAGCACTAATCCAAACTACATAAATATAAATAATACAAAATGTGCAGGAGTTTCAGCTCCGTGTGCCATGTGTACAACTCATGGACAATCCACACTACATACCAGTCTTTGAGGCAATCCAGTCTCGATACTTAGTCACTCTGGTGTAGACCCCAGGTTTTTTGGGAAGAGCACATGATTGTCCCCAACTTACTATACCTACAATGTACCAGATGTCATGATTATCATAAACCAGAGGTCCACCAGAATCACCCTGAAATAAAAACATTTTAAATTGTTAACTCTACTTTAATTCAGTGGGAAAGTATTGTAATCTGACGTTCACAGAAAAAAATGGAAATTGGTACACAGACCACAGCCAGATTTCAGACTAGTTAATCGGTCTCTCAATTGAATTAAAATTTCTGCTAAACTTTAAAGGGCATTTTTGGGGGGGGGGAAGGCTAACACGCATTCACAGGAAATGGTTGCATTATTTCTGTTTCAGTATCCTTAGTTTTTCTTTTTTTTTTCCTAGTTTGACCAGATCCATTTAGCATGGTGTAGTAACTATGTACATAAAATGTTAAATGTGAGATTAGCATTTGTAAGCCTAGGCAGAAAATTTCAAGGATCTCTTCTAAATGCTGTCACCTTAATTGTATTTTATGGACCTATTCCTGGTTTCTTTTTTTTTTTTTTTTTTTTGAAATGGAGTCTCACTGTGTCACCAGGCTGGAGTACAGTGGCACAATCTCGGCTCACTGCAACCTCTGCCTCCTGGGTTCAAGTGATTCTCCTGCCTCAGCATCCCAAGTAGCTGGGACTACAGGTGCGCCACCACGCCCAGCTAATTTTTGTATTTTTAGTAGATATAGGGTTTCACTATGTTGGCCAGACTGGTCTTGAACTCCTGATCTCAGGCAATCCACCAACCTCAGACCCCTAAGTGCTGGGATTATAGGCATGAGCCACTGTGCCCGGCTTGTCTCCTTTTCTTTTACTCACCTATTTCTAATTAGTTTTCCTGCTGAATTTTTATAAGCTCCTTTAAATCTCTTTTGGAAAACAAAAAAGAACAAAGAATATTAAGTAAATAAACAAATAAACATGTGTTCATTAAAAGTGTGGTCTCAGCAGCTGAACTACCTGTTTCAGGCCCAGCTCTATTAATTACTGGCTGTGTGACCCTGGGTAAGATACTTAAGCTTTCTGTGCCTCTTCTTCACTTATTTATTTATCTATTTATTTAATTATTTACTGAGTTCCTATTCTATGTCTGAGGCAATTTGGTGTCTATTAGGGACAAAATGATGACCAAAAATGACAGGACCCTATGCTCTTAGAGTTTGAAGGTTAGGTTAAAAAAACAACAACATTATTAAATAAGCCTACAAACAAATGCAAAATTTGACTGTCAAAGAAAAACAGGAAATTTCCCCTGATGAAATTAATTGAGCTGATATCTGAAGGAAGAAGAGGTAGCCACATGGGAAGTTGGGGTTAGGTGTGTTCTGGGCAGAGGGAACAGTATTGCAAATACTCTGCGGCATGAAGGGGCCTAGCAAATTCAAGGGCCTAAAAACAGAAGTGGGTGGAGAGAGGAGTGTAAGGGGGGCAAATAGTGTGTGAGGAGTCTGGAAGATAAGGAAAGACAAGTCCATGTGGAGCCTTGTAGGTCTCGGTTAGAAGTTTCAGTTTCTCATCTTAAGACTAAGGGTAAGCCACTGAAGTATTTCAGAGGGACATTTGACATGATTAGCATTTTATTAGAAATGATTCTGGGTCTTATTTGACTAACACAAGAGAGGAGCATAAGGGTAAAACTGAGGAAATTTCTCAGGAAGCTGAGACAGGAGAATAGCTTGAACCTGGAAGGCAGAGGTTGCAGTGATCCAATATTGTACCACTGCCCTCCAGCCTGGGTGACAAAGCAAGACTCTGTCTCACACACATACACAAAAAAAGAAGAATGAAATTAGACCTTTACCCTTACACCATGTACAAAAATAAACTCAAAGTGGGTTAAAAACCTAAACCTAAAACCTGAAATTATAAAACTACTAGAAAAAAACAAGACAAAACAAAACAAAACAGAGAAAAAGCTCCATGACATTGGTTTGGGCAAGGATTTTTGAATATTACCTCAAAAATTCAGGCAATAAAAGCAAAAATAGGCAAATGAGATTGCATCAAACTGAAAAGCTTTTGCACAGCAAGCAAAACAAAACAACAATTAATAAAGTGAAGAGACAACCCACAGAATGGGAAAACATGTTTGCAAACCAAACATTTGATAAGTTGTTATATCTAAAATATGGCCATCAGGTTCATGAAAAAAATGCTCAATATTAAAAATCATCAGGGAAATGAATTAAAACCACAATAAGATATCTCTTTACTCCTAGTAGAATAGTTTTTATCAAAAAGATAAAAGATAAGTATTGATGAGGATGCAGAGAAAAGGGAGCTCTTATACACTCTTGGTGGGAATGTAAATTAGTATAAATATTATGGAAAACACTAGGGAGGCTCCTTATAAAGTTAAAAACAGAACTATCATATGATCTAGCAACCCCACTTCTGGAAATTTATCCAAAAAAATTAAAATCAATATGTCAAAGAAATATCTGTACTCCTGTGTTCAGTGCAGCATTATTCACAATAGCCAAGATATAGAATCGACCTAAGTGTTCATCGGTATGTGAAGAGATAAAGAAAATATGGTATATATACAAAATGAACTACTCTTTAGCCATAAAAAGAATAAATTCTGTCCATTTGTGACAACATAATGAGTCTAGAGGACTTTATGCTAAGTGAAATAAGCCAGGCACAGAAAGACATCATTTCACCTATATGTGGAATCTAAAAAGTTGAATTCATAGAAGTAGAGAGTAGAATGATGATTACCAGAGTCTGGGTGGGACTAGGGAGGTAGAGAGTGAGGGAAGGGGGAGTTGCTAGTTAGAGGGTGCAAAGTTTCAGTGCAGAGGAATATGTTTTGAGATATACTGCACAGCAGGATGTCTATAATGAAAAATACTGTATTATAGATCTCAAAATAACTAAGAGAGTAAATTTTAGATGTCTATCACAAAAAAATGTTAAGTGAGATGACAGATACGTTAATTAGCTTTACTTAACTATTCCACATTGTATACATGTATCAAAATGTCACATTGTACTCCATAGATATAATACGATTATGATTTATCAATAAAAATAATGGACCGTGAAATCTGAGCTGGAAAAGTAGATGGAAGAAAGAAAAAGATTAATGAACTATAAGAAAATAGAGAAATCAATGGACAGTAGGTGTCAATGAAGTTGATAAAAGACTGTTTTTCATTCAATTAGTCATCAAATATTTTCACCACACACTTTTAGGTGCTGAGAACATAGCAGTAAATAAAATAGTCTTCTTTCATGAAACTTACATTTTAGTTAGTGGAGAAATAGGCAATAAGCTAGATAAATAAAAATACTGTATACTGGATGGTGACAAAGTCTAAGGAGAAAAATAGAACAGAGAAAGGACACGAGGAATGCATGTGTAGGCTGTGCGTGTTGGGAGTGAGAGCTGGTAGAATAGGGTATAACATAGGGAGCAGTAGTTAAAAAGTAAGGGGGAAACACTGGGTGGTAGTAGTCAAATAGGAAGATGCAAATTAGCATTTTTGAAGATGGAGCAGTTTTTGAGGACAAGGCCCGTAGTGTGACTTTAAAGAGGAGGGTCTGAGGTAGCTGAAGAGTATACAGGATCAGTGGAGAAGAGGAGGTCTAGGAACTCAGTCCAGCATTTAAACAGGTCAGTGTTGATAATGCTGGGCTTAGAGTGGAGAGAAAGCCTGTTTCAGGTGTCGCTGTCATGAAAGAATGAGAGGGGCGAAGGGAAATGACTAGGAGGCTGGGGGATGAATACAGATAACTATAATATTGCTTTTATCTCTTATTAAATAAAATAATGTAAAATATGCTTAATTTTTGGCTTAGCGTATATTCAACTCTCAATACAATTATTTTTATTGTTATGATTATTAAATAAACATCATTCTCATTGAAAGAGATGCCTTTTTTTTTCTCCTAGGTAAAATATATGCCAAACTCAGAAACAGCTAATGGAAACTTTCCTTGTAAACTTTTGGCCTTGACTTTAAACTTACCTTACATGCATCTACTTTTCCTTCCATGAATCCAGCACATAACATTCCTGGAGTTATCAGGCCATCATATACATCCTTTCTGTTACACACATCAGTGCTTATGGTTTCCACTCTGGCTTGCCGAAGTTTATTTTGTGTAGGTCCTATTGCACAAATGGACAAACAAATAAATAGTATTCCTCAAATACAACTAGATCGAAGACATAAAAGACACACATACATTATAAATTTTATATTTCCAGTAGCAAAAGCCAAAGAGCTCTCATCTTATTTTCTGTGCCATAAATGTCCACATGCAAGGAGCCATAAATATACATGTCCCAGTATTATATAACATTTGTGAATCTCTCAAGGATATTAGGAGTCTTAAAACTACACGCAAAATATTACATATACATGCATTTTTTTCATCAGGAGAGGGTCTGTAGTCCTCAGATACTCAGAGTATGACATTGATCTGGTCCAACTGCCACATTTTCCATATAAGGAAACCATGGCCCATGGAAGTTCACTGACATTCCAAAAGCTATTCAAGTAGAAACCAGGACACAGCTGCACAGATCTATTCACCCTACTCTACCCTGTTATGTGTTATTTAGGAGTGTCTCACAGTCTGGGAAACAAAATGAATGCCCAATATGTGCTAGTGACCCGATGACAACACAGAACAGGGCCGAGTTTTAGGAGGAGAGGATACTGCACAGTTGAATACCGAAAAGTAGTATAGGGCTCTGGGTTGAAGCCATTGGCGGTACCCCCGAGCTAGCTGTTAAGAGACTTTAAAGAACCTCTCACAAAGCCAAGATGGGCATGCATGGAGCATGTGGAAAACTTTTCATGGAATAAAATTCTGTCAAAAAAGAGATAGATTAAGATATATTAGCACTAGTTTTTTTCTGGATAGCCTTGATAGAAACTTCAGTATTCTTATTTCTAATTAAAACATTTCGTTAATCCTTCTCTTTAAAGTAGAGTGAACTACTTTATGTAGAAATTTTAAGTTCTGGTTTTTAATTTATACAATTACTAGACTTGATGCCTTTTAACACCCCTAGGAGGTGGGACAGAGGAAAAAGATACAGATTGTATTGACTAACCAAAATAAAAATGCTCAAAATATTTGCAACCCATTTTAATGTTTATGACCATCATAAATTCTCATAAAATGAGAAAGATTCAAATAAACAATGGAAAAAGCTATCATTACATTTGTGATTTCAGGCATATGCTGATTGAAATAAAGTATATATGATTTAAAGTATATGTAACGCATTTACATCCAGGAAAGACAAAATCTGTGATTACTTACTGCCTTGCACTCCCATAGTGTTCTGTCCCTTCTTATATCACCTGATGCAGTTGTTTTTTCCTTCTATATTAGTCTCTCTCCCTGACTTTTTTTTTTTTTAACCACAGCTCCAATTGTAGAGATTCCTTCCTCCTTCCTTCCTTCCTTCCTTCCTTCCTTCCTTCCTTCCTTCCTCCTTCCTTCCTTTCTTTCTCTTTCTTTTTTTGAGATGGAGTCGAGCTGCAGTGCAGTAGCGAGATCTCAGCTCACTGCAACCTCCACCACCCAGGCTCAAGCAATTCTCCTGCCTCAGCCTCTTAAGTAGCTGGAATTGCAAGCACACACCACCATACCCGGCTATTTTTTTGGTGTATTTTAGTAGAGATGGGGGTTTCACCATGTTGGCCAGGCTGGTCTTGAACTCCTGACCTCATGTGATCTGCCCACCTCAGCCTCCCAAAGCGCTGGGATTACAGGAGTGAGTCACCGCATCCCACCACCACTACTCCAATTGTGAACTCAAAGACAGGAGTCGATTTTTACTTTTAACCCACAGTCTCCTGTTCTGCCCAAGGCCACACACATTGGAAAGACCATTATTTTTATAAAAAGCTTAAGAGGGATTCCTTCAGATAGATAGCTTGTTTATCTCAAGACATTTTTGTGCTAAGAAAATTAGGTTGAAACTACTCACCATCATCTACAATGGATCCAAATCCTGTGACAAACACACTTGTTTTAGGTGGCAACTTTATAGATGAATCTGGGAGGCAAACTCTCTGGACGATATTTGAAAACTCAACTCCAGTACTGAGTTGTGCCAAAGCAATGTCATTTTCATTTGTTTCTCTATGGTAATTCTCATGAACAATAATTTTCTTCACATTTCGTTTCACTGCAGGTGGTGTTATAGTTGTACCAAAAGTAACAACCCATTGAGTTGGGTCTTTATTTCTGCAAAAAATTAAAAAGTAATACTTGGGATGCTTTACTTAATTCTGTGAACAAGACTGAGACTGTATTTCTTCCCAACTATCAGTATTATGCTCCTGAAACATCCTTTTGGTAACAAAGTTTGTAGTTGATAACAAAATAGGAAAATATAGTTCTTAAAATTATTACAATTATGTACAAATAATATGATTAGTTTCCAATTTTTAAACTTTTTGCTTGCTAGGAGCTTTTCAGGTTCTCTTTCTTCCTGAATTTCAACAAACTGTGTAGAAATTAATTTTGATTTGTTTTGGATAATGCACATACTAAGAGGGATTTTCTCTCCATGTCACATCATCAACCCATTCTTATTTTATGACTCACTTGTTGGCTCTTATTTTACTGGGTTTTACTGTGATCTTTGAAGTGAAGTGTAATTTGTTGCTTTGCAAACCTTCATGTGTACACAGGGTTTTTTCTCCACCCTAGTCTCATATCCCTCCCATACCCCTCCCTTAGATACAAGGGCTAAGTAATCCTAACTCAAAGTCATGCTCCTACCACCCATGGATCTGGCCTGGTCAGTCCCTCTTACTAGACTTTCGGTTCTCCTTTCACATAGGTGCTTTTCTCTCCCACAAGCTTTATATCATAAGCAAATTCTATCTGGTTCTATCATCTCTTACTTCCTTATGGTCCTCCAAAGCCCAGTACCTTTTTTCTAAAGTTATCCTCATCCTGAATGACTGGAAATATATAGTAGCTTAAAATTCTCTGGGTGAAGAAAGGATTACTATGTTGGTGAATCAACAACCTTTAAGTGTAATAATAATAATAATAATAAAACCTGAAAGATCAGCAGTTTCCTAACGGCTGCACTGCCCTAAAAATGAGCAGAGCCCAGGATATGGGAGGGGTTCTTCTCTCATCTGTTTTACTTCTTTACACATTAAGATAAGATTGTATTCAAACCAGAAATCTTAGGACTGACAGAAGCAACCATTTTGAAAACTAGACACTAGATACTAGAATTCTCAGAGATATAAAGACATATATGACTTCAGGCCTTAAGGAGTTCACAAATGAATCAGATAGAGAATAAAAATTATCCCATCCCTTTATGGATTGCTAATGAGAGAGGAAACCTCACATGATAGGCCAATTCAACATGTTTTATGAATAAGAAAATTAAGATCCAGAAGTTCGGTGACTTGTGCAGGTGAGTGACATGCCTCTGGTTAGTGCCAAAAGGAAATGGTCCAATCAAGAATGTTTTCCCCACCTATGCTGTGTTGCAAAGACTGGAATCATTTTTCATAGACATAAAGGTGCTGAGATTTGTCTTAAACATGATTTTGAAAATACATTATTTCTGCAGAAAAAATAAATTTATAGAAATTTAAAGATGTGAATAATGCGATATTATTTTCAAAGTACCATGTAGTTTTCCTTTGCAAAAGTATGCCACATTGTGCGATTACATGAAATTATTAATATATCACTCCCAAATTGTACTCGTTTTTATAAAATATGCTATAATCTGTCTCCCATATTTTAAAAAAATCCTTCCTTTAACTTCACAACTGCCCTCAACTGTCAAATTTCTCTGATCCCTTTCATTTAGAAACTTCTTAAAAGTGATTTTAAAACTTACTGCATCTAATCTTCCCTCCATTCTCTGTTGAATTCATTCCCATCCCTATCACACCAGAAAAACTTCTTTTATCAAGGTCACCAGTACTTTCTTCTTCATCAATGGCCAATTCCCATGTAGATCTGCCTGTACCTAGAGCCTGCACTGGACCTGCTGAAATAAGTTATTTCAATGGCCACAGCTTATATTCTTCACTAAATATTAAGTTGGCATTCTGGATTTATTATTTTTAATTTACATAAACAGAGATCAGTTATAAACTAAAGTGGAAGACATTCTCACAAAAACAGAAGTGCAAAGGTTGGAGGACTGTATGAACATGAGAAAATTAGAAAACCTTCACAAGTGAGTGGGACTCAAACTTGCCCCTAAGGCATAATCATGGTTATTTTGAGAGTTGTACATATGCACATGTAAGCGAGTTGCTTTTCTCTTCTCCTCTATAAGGAAGCAACAGATAATCACCTTAGTATCTTGGAACCACCTGGGATGCTATCCTTAGAAGGATGACAAAGAGCCTCCGAGAATCACCAAGGATAGGCTCCTTTAATAAGATGCAGGATGAGGAAGTAGTGCCACAGGCCAGGCAAAGAGTCTTTATTTAGAGTTTCGTCTTTGAGAGTTTAAAGGAAAAGCTTTCTGTACCATGATGGTAAAACCTCAGGGAAGAAAGATAGTGTGTTCCTGACCTCCTGGGGCTGTAGTGTGCCTGTGTATGTCTGTGTACATGAACTGACACATCTGAGATTTAAGAGGTACAAATTTTGCTCCGTTGTACATAACCAGTCTTGAATACGGTGAGGGCAGTGAGACAAGGCAGGAGGTCTCTCCTCGCTTTCACACAACATTCTGGACCAGACAAGCCTGCAGGGTTCCTAGTGAATGCAATGAAAAGATAGAACTTCAAGAGGAATACCTATGATTCTTTTTTTATTTGTAAAGTGATGGCAGTGCTGACAATGGGAAGTTAGAGGGATTAATTGGGAAAAAAATAGGTGACTTTCTTTTTGAGTATGTAAAAGAGATTAAACTTGTTACATGTATAATAGTCTTCACACTAAAATAATCTACATATAATTTTATATAGTATATAGTGGGAAAGATAGTACTAGGGTCATGATGATAGAAGAAAATATATAATAAGAACTTTAAATAACAAAAACCAAGCATCATAGATAGGGCACAAGGCAAGTATAATCCATTTAGGGGACACCTGGATCTACCCTGAACACAGCAAAGGATAAACTGGCGAGACTGGACTCTTCTGATGCGCTAAATCAATGGCAGATGAGGACTGAGAAAACAAGGCTCGCAGCAGCCTTGTCTGACTTACTTCCGGAAGCAGTGAGCGGCTGTGAGCAGCCATGTGTTACTGATGAGGCTGGCTCCGCACTGATGGCCTGCCCCTATAAGCTGGAGGCTGGCCTGCCATGGCCATTCCCCTTCCATAGCTGTTTCCCTTCCTTGGACAATTCTTTGAGTAGAAGAGGATGCTGGTAATGGCATGTTTGAAGATGTCATCCTTATTCCACAGCCTGCCACAGAAATACATGTTCATTTGTATTCATCACAAGGAGGAAAAAAGTATATTCTGATTTGCTTTGGTTGTAGACAATCCCTTGTCCCTGCTACCTTGTGAGCCATTCATAGCACTCAGCCTTTGAGCTTATTTGATACAGGGCTTGCTGATCCTACTGAGGTTCAGAAGAAATGTTTACTAACATTTCAAGGCATTCAGTGCAGGAATTAACTTCTATCTTTATAAAGCATATATAGATAGATAAATCATTGAGCATCAAAAATGTATAGATCTTCTGTTATGTGAATTAGATGTATTTATAGCAACAGACCTTTTACATGAGAAAATTAAGCCTTGAAGAGGGAACATTGCTGGCGATCACCCAGCTGGTAAGTGACAGAGTGAAATATGAAATTAGGAGGATCCACACCAAAACTTGTGGTAGTATCCTTATTACTGAGAAACAGCCCAATACTAAATGTGGGTCATGATTTTCCCTTAACTAATAGCTAAAGAGAATCAATTTATTGGGTTTGCAAAGCCCTGTATTTTAACAGATATTGGCCTCTTTGGTCTCTTAAAGCTTGAAAAACTAGTTTCAAAAAAAGTCTTCTTCCCTGATATCAAACCCTCAATTGACTAGATTTCAAGTCAATCTTAAAAGAGACCTGTAAGTGTTACATTTTTAATGGGCATGTTTGTCCACAATAGACCTTAACTATGTAGCAATGCTGGAATGTAGAGTGCAGAGCAGGAAGAGGCAGAGAATGTACATGACAGATACTTCAATTAAAATGCAAGCAAGTTACAAAAAATTAAAGCCTAAATGTTACCAGTTTAAAACACTCTCTTGAATTGTCAGAGTATTAAAAGAGTTATTTATAATGAATATTAATATAATATCTGTAATAGTATATAAGATGTTTTAAATCACATCTAACAGGTCATATAAACTTAAAATTGTATTTGATATAAATTTATAAATTTAAGTACTTCAAATACTACAAATAATAAAAAGATTAAGTGTTCAGTTTACAAAAATATGAAATGAGTTTTTGAAAGCTTGGTAAATTTTACTGCTAACTTTTCTATGACTTCTTTTCATGATCTTTTACTGTGAAATAAACAGTTAATTGTGGGTTTTGGAACTTACGACTGTTGAGAAGATTCCTCATCTTTTTGCTGTCAAGAGCTGGAATAAGCAAAACATGAGTTAGTTGGCAGAAGAATATATTCCCATTTTCACGTTACCCTGTTCAACTGGTCATTAATAGAAATGTTAATTATCCAAAGCATACATATTTCAAGAAAGCATGAGATTTGTCATAACTAAGTAATGTATAAATAACCCTTTAGTTTTATTTTTGAGTCAAATTGTGTAATTTACTTTAAAATTAAATCAAAGAGCATTTTACTTTCTGATTTTGCTCAGGAAAAAGAAACAGAAAGTAGGAAATAATAAATAGGGATAAATGTCCCTGACTGCTTTCCTTAGGGGCTTCAATATAACTTGGGGGAGCAATCTCCAATTCCCATCACAACTGGTGTTTACCCACCTATGTGGTTTTAGGCATATTCCTAATGGCCAGTTTGAAATGGTAGCTCTATGGAGCTAAATGCATCACAGACCCCTGAGGGCCCAATTCCCTGGTCTAACGGAGTAGGAATTTAGTCAATTCCTAATTGACTAAATTAGGCAGGTTGATAACCTTGTCTCCCTGAGGATCTCATGAATGGTTTGGATGGTTGTGGCTCAGGCAGCAGACATTACAGACGTGAAGTTCTCTCACATACATCCAATCCAGAGACGCCAGCCGTATACAACCTTTCACTTCATTTTATGCTTCAGTTCTATGACATCTTTTTTTCCCTTCAAATTTATTCATTCATGTTCATTATAACTCAGCTACATTAGATGTTTGTTGGGTTAGTGATTGGTTTTTTGTTTGTCAGTGAGAAAATGGTGAATTATATAGCAATTTTATCAGCAACATTGACTTGCCCCCAAAAAGGGATGTGAGCCCCTATTCCTACTAGAGGATTCAGGGATATTTATCTTTATTTAACAAAAGACATGTACGTGGCAGAAGAAAACACACAGTTAAATCTTCATTATTGAGCATGGTCAGAGAATATAGATATTTTGGTATTAAAACAACTTGTATCATAAAAAATTATTGTATGTAACCAACAATGCCAAAATGTTTTAAATAAATTGTACAAGAAACTATATAACGTAACAACTCAGTAAATATAACATAATGTCACTTTTATAATAGATGTTTTACTTTAGGATATATGATTGTGGCCTTAGGGACAGTTATATCATTAGGAATTGAAATTTCCGTTCATAGAATGCTGGAAAACACTTTGTTTTACTTTGGGATATAATTGATCAACAATCAAGATGGATACCATACTCTCCATTATTTCTAATTACTTCATGAAAACACAATTAATATTTACGGGGATTCTATCTCAAAATATATTTAAAGAACTTTTCTGATTTCTAAGAACAAAAAATTAACTTTAGATAACTTGTTTCCTAAATAACTACATGGATATTGGGAAGGGTTGTCTTTTGGGTCCAAAATACAAGTCCCTCTCCCCTCCTTTTTGTATCAAATCAGGAGTAACTAAACTTGAAAATACATAACAAGAAGCAATAAATGGAGCTGGAGCACCTATCACATGTGAGATGCATGCGTGTGTTTGAGGGAAGGGTAAGAAAATAATAAAAATAAATAAATAAATAAAAAGAAAAGAAAAAGACATAGTTTCTGACTGTGACATTTAAAATCTTATTTGAAACACATTATTTTCCTACTTTTAATTACACATTGGCATAGAAAAATAAAAATGTCTCCCAGCTTGGATTCCAACTAGCTGTAAGGTAGTTTGAATTTTAGTTTCCCAAACTTTTTGAACTTCCTTTTCTTCCACTTTGGGAGGAAAACAAAGCAAGAACTTTCCTGATTTCGTTTTGTGAGGAATAAATAAGGAAATTAATGAAAAATAATTTTAAGTGGGAAACAAGCTAGAGAACCTCTTTAGATTTCATGTCACTGGCTCTTCCTATAGGGGCAAACCTTCATAAAGATGTCTTTCTTTGATACTATAAAAAAGAACTCCCAGAACTAATCTGTAAAGACCTCTGTGAGTCACAATACCTGTGTCTAATTCTAACCCAATGCCTCACATCATCCTTGAGTCTCAGCTTCTTTACCTGTAAAATGGTGAAAGTAATACCTACCCTTTGGAACTTTTGTAAGGATCCAATAATATATGATATGGGAAAAAGTTTAGAAACCTTATTAAAAGCCCTAGTAAAATATGAAAAAAATATGTTGTAGCTTCACCCATGTCCCTGCAAAGGTCATGAACTCATCCTCTTTCATGGCTGCATAGTATTCCACGGTGTATATGTGCCACATTTTCTTTATCCAGTCTATCACTGATGGACATTTGGGTTGGTTCCAAGTTCTTGTTAATGTGAACAGTGCCACAATAAACCTACATGTGCATATGCCTTCATAGTAGAATGATTTATAATCCTTTGGGTATATACCCAGTAATGGGATTGCTGAGTAAAATGTTATTTCTAGTTCTGATCCTTAAGGAATCACCACACTGTCTTCCACAATGGTTGAACTAATTTACACTCCCACCAACAGTGTAAAAGCATTTCAATTTCTCCACATTGTCTCCAGCATCTGTTGTTTCCTGACTTTTTAACAATCACCATTCTAACTGGCTTGAAATGGTATCTCAGTGTGGTTTTGATTTGCATTTCTCTAATGACAAGTGATGATGAGAATTTTTTCATGTTTGTTGGCTACATAGATGTCTTCTTTTGAGAAGTGTCTGTTCATATCCTTCACCTGCTTTTTGATGAGGTTTTTGGTTTTTTCTTGTAAATTTGTTTAAATTCTTTGTAGATTATGGATATTAGCCCTTTGTCAGATAGACAGATTGCAAAAATTTTCCCCCACTATGTAGGTTGCCTGTCTACTCTGATGACAGTTTCTTTTTCTGTGCAGAAGCTCTATAATTAGATTCCATTTGTTAATTTTGGCTTTTGTTGCTGTTGCTTTCGCTGTTTTAGTCATTAAGTCTTTGCTTATGCCTATGTCCTGAATGGTACTGCCTAGGTTTTCTTCTAGAGTTTTTATGGTTTTAGGTCTTACATTTAAATCTTTAATTCATTTTGAGTTAATTTTTGTATAAGATGTAAGGAAGGGATCTAGTTTCAGCTTTCTGCATATGGCTAGCTAGTTTTCCCAACACCATTTATTAAATAGGGAATCCTTTCCTCATTGCTTGTTTTTCTCCAGTTTGTCAAGGATCAAATGGCTGTAGATGTGTGGTGTTATTTCTGAGGCCTCTGTTCTGTTGCATTGGTCTATATATCTGTTTTGGTACCAGTACCATGCTGTTTTTTTTTTTTACTGTAGCCTTGTACTATAGTTTGAAGTCAGGTAGCGTGATGCCTCCTGCTTTGTTCTTTTTGCTTAGGATTGTCTTGGCTATGCGGGCTCTTTTTTGGTTCCATATGAAATTTAAAGTAGTTTTTTCCAATTCTGTTAAGAAAGCCAATGGTAGCTTGATGGGGATAGCACTGAATCTGTAAATTACTTTGGGCAGTACGGCCATTTTCACAATATTGATTCTTCTTATCCATGAGCATGGAATGTTTCTCCATTTGCTTGTGTCCTCTCTTAGTTCCTTGAGCAGTGGTTGTAATTCTCCTTGAAGAAGTCCTTCACTTTTCTTGTAAGTTGTATTCCTAGGTATCTTACTCTCTTGGTAGCAATTGTGAATGGGAGTTCACTCATTATTTGGTTCTCTTTCTGTTATTGGTGTATAGGAATGCTTGTGATTTTTGCACATTGATTTTGTATCATGAGACTTTGCTGAAGTTACTTATTGCTTAAGGAGATTTTGGGCTGATAAGATGAGGTTTTCTAAATATACAATCATCATTCTCAGCAAACTAACACAAGAATAGAAAACCAAACACCACATGTTCTTGAGGGAATGTTTTCTCTTTCTGGGTCCATAAGGGGTTGTGGTTTTAAGGGCAAGAATTTCCTAGCACCATGCACCCCTCCCCTCTCTCTCCATCTGGGAGATTTAACAATGGTTTATGTTTAAATTTCGCGGGCACGGGAAGAAACTATAAGTCAATCACTCCAGCAGAAGTTCTAAGGAACTCCTTTCATTGGCCCAGGGTCTTAGAGAAGGTGGGGGTTCCTCCCAGGTTAAAAGTCCCCTTCTTCACACCCCTTCGGACTCCATGTTTGGGTTCCCTTCCACGAACACTCCCTTTGTGGAAGCTGCTTTCCTCTCCTGGATTCCATCTTTCTGGATTCTCTCATTCAGTGTGAGAGTTAGCTGTTTCTTTCTCTCTCCTTCTCCTCTTTCTCTCTCTCTTTAAAAAAACCACTTTCTACAAACACTTGAGTCCGGCATTTACTGCGCACTGCTCTGTGGTCCCCTCTCTCATTCTTGAGAGGACAGGAGATCAAGAACCTGGAGAAATGTCCTCTCAGGGGAGCTGAGGGCACCCTGAACCCCAATATGACATCCTTACTTATTAGTGGGAGTTGAACAATGAGAACACATGGACATAGGGAGGGAAACAACACACACTGGGGCCTGTCAGTAGGGAGGGCCTAGGAGAGGGATAGCATTAGTATTAGGAGAAATACCTAATGTAGATGACGGATTGATGGGTGCAGCAAACCACCATGGCACATTTATACCTATGTAACAAATCTGCACTTTCTGTAATTGTACCCTGGAACTTAAGATATAATAAAAAAAAGCAAAAAACATGTAATACTAAATAATACTGAATTTTATTTTACTTTTATTTCATGCTGATATATATATGTGCTTACAAAAAACAAAAATAATTATAAGAGAGGGAACCACAAAAGTGTCAACTAAAAATAAAAGACTTACGTGTGAGTCTAAATGATGGTTTGTTTATGGTAAAAGGCAACTGTTTGGTCTTCAAACTTTGATATAAAGCCTTTTCAATTTTTTTCTTGATTTGTTCAGCACTATCAGTAGATGGATATCGAAACATGAGCACTATAAGAATGTCCACACCTTGTTCATCTGGACTGAAGAGCAAAAAAGCAGATAAAAAATACAATTTATCTAATCATTAATGACTTTAACCTATTAGGACTCATATTAAACTTAAAAAAACATAATGGATGATATGTGTGAATACCAGATTTTTAAATTTCTGTAAATACAGAGATTAAAAATGAGTGTATAATGACCAGGAAGTGTTGGAAGCACTGTAGAAGAAATAAAGACAACATGCTAGAAATACTGGATAAATACATACCTGAAAACAACTGTTCACTGCCCTTACCTAGCTCATAGTTTAAAGGGGTTTGCAGGAGGAGATGCTCATGAAATCATGCTTTATATGTACGTACAAGCCTTGCTTTTTAAGGCAATTTGAGCAAAACTGTAGCTAATACCACTATTCTTTAGAAGTGGTGTGGCAGGGAGGAGGCTTTTGTTTACCAAACCCAGTTTCTTTTGTCTCCTGAGCACAGAGGTAGATTCCTTTTTCTGGGCTTTCTTGAAATTTATTGAAACTTTCTAATGAATCTGGCCAATGAAAGATGGGAAGAAATAATGTCCCCCACTTCCAAGTCTGGTTTCTAATAAAACCTCCCCTAGCATTTTCCTTGCCCTCACTCTTCCCTTGCCTGCCAACCAGAGGCAGAATATCCAGTTGGCAATTTCATTTCATAATCCCGATTGGCACCCATACCCTTGCCCCAACTTCTGACTCTTTGGACTGTATCATGGAGATGAAATAAACCTTTACTATATTAAAGCACTGACATTTTGGTGTTTGATGGTCTGTTAATAGATAAATGATTAAAGAAAGCACTTATAAAAGAGAATCATTTGATAAACACTTCAAACATATGAATTTATATTGTGATGTGTAGGGTTAGAAAGCCTCAAGTAATCTTTTGAGAATGAGTTTAATTTGAGAGATAAAAGAAAAGAAGAAAGGGAGAAAGGGAAAGAAGGAGGAGGGAGGAGAGAAAAATGGAAAGGAGAAAGGAAAAAAGAAAAAAACAAGAAGATATTAAAGAAAGAAGTGCAAGAGAAAAAGAAGAGACATGGGGTCCTCAATCATTAGCCATATTTATATTTACTTTATCACCAAGAAGTGAAGGAAACAAGCAGATATATAATTATAAATATATCTATAAATAGACATATATCACTATGGAATCTAAGCTTTTTAGACAACGTATAAAAACATATTCAGGATGGATTCTAGTAATTTTAGTCTCTGAAAATAACTTCATGATTCATTTTTGTATATTATTTTTAACCAAAGCATCAAAATGAAAAGCCATTTTAAAATAACAATAAACATGCACTGTCTTGAAAAAAAAAAAAAACTTTACTGCGGAGAATGTCATTGTCTGATGGTGGGGTAGGCTTAACATGAGGAAAACAAAAAAGACGTTCAGTTCTACTTAGCCCCTAGCTTAAGAGGTGGGGGAGGAGGAAATGTTAGCTGTGTCATCCCCCGTTTCCTATATTTTTTCCCTTTTTTTCTATCCAATAGCTGAGATTTTCTTGTCAAAAAGCACCTTACCTTTTTCTACTGTGATTGGGAAACAGGTAAGAAAACTTGTGCTGCTCAAGATTTATGAAATCTGTGTGTTGTTGTAAAGACTTGCTCAAGGGCAGCTAAGCAATTAGGTACATCAAATACCTCATCTTAACAATATTGACTTGAAATTACAAACCAAGTTTACTTACCTTAATTTGATAACATGAGATTTGATAAATCGATTGCCTACAGAAGAACGTCGAAATATCCTAGACATCTGATTTTTGAAACAGAAGTTAGTTTTCAGAACTTAAAAGTAAAATAAAAAATAGTAATAATTTTAAAAAAGAAATATTAATCTTAAGAAAAGTGTTATTCTTTGTTTTATCTAGAGACTTCAGGCAAAAAAAAGGTGTTCAGCTCATTTACAGCCATGTTAATGGGTATACTGAGAGTTGTAAGACTAAACCTGGGGTCTAATCTTTGTGGAACCAAATAAGCACAATAAAATTATTCAACATTGCTAAGCATCTGTAAAATGGGATAAGAACAATATCTGTCTTATACAGTTGATTTGAAAATTAAGTGACATTATATTACACATTTTACACCTTGTTTGGTATCTATTAAGCTATTGAAGACAGTTTTAAATACTGTCAAGTGAATTACTTTTTAAGACAGCATCTTTATTTCTTTTCTTTTCTTTCCCGCCCCCCTTTTTTTTTTTGAGACAGTTTCACTCTGTCACCAGGCCCCAGACTGGAGTACGATGGTGCCATCTTGGCTCACTGCAACCTCCGCCTCCCACATTCAAGCGATTCTCCTGGCTCAGCCTCCCGCGTAGCTGGGACCACAGGTATGTGGCAACGCTCCCAGCTAATTTTTATATTTTTTAGTAGAGAATGAGTTTCACTATGTTAGCCAGGATGATCTCGATCTCCTGACCTTGTGATCTGCCTGCCTCAGCCTCCCAAAGTGCTGGGATTACAGGAGTGAGACACCACGACTGGCCAACAGCATCCTTATTTCTAAGAAAGCCTACCTTGTTTGCTGCACTCATCTCAAATATGGTATCTCATCATGCAGTGTTGACAGAATTTGTTGATTTCTTAAAAGATTATGTCATCACTTGACCATTTGACATGACTTGAAATGACTCCTGCCATGTGACTCTGACACCCTCACTTGTTAGTCACCTCTATGAGAGACAGGATTTCACGACTGGTACTACGCTTCGGAGTAAATTTCACCACACTGTTATACCAACAGAACTTCATTACTTAGCTTTCCCAGTCTGAGCCATTGGAAAATTTTCAGTGCTCAGGAAACTAATTTCCTAAAGGGTCCTGATTTCAGCTGGCTATTGAAGCACTGCCTTTTTTTTTTTTTTTTTTTTTTTTTTTTTTTGAGACGGAGTTTCGCCCTTGTTACCCAGGCTGGAGTGCAATGGCGCGATCTCGGCTCACCGCAACCTCCGCCTCCCGGGTTCAGGCAATTCTCCTGCCTCAGCCTCCTGAGTCGCTGGGATTACAGGCACGCGCCACCATGCCCAGCTAATTTTTTGTATTTTTAGTAGAGGCGGGGTTTCACCATGTTGACCAGGATGGTCTCGATCTCTTGACCTCGTGATCCACCCGCCTCGGCCTCCCACAGTGCTGGGATTACAGGCTTGAGCCACCGCGCCCGGCCTAGCACTGCCTTTTTGTTAAAAAAGCACTGGGCTAGTTGGGTGTGGTGGCTCATGCCTGTAATCTGAGCACTTTGGGAGGTCAAGGTGGATAAATCCCTTTAGCCCAGGAGTTCCAGACCAGCCTGGGCAACATGGTGAAACTCCATCTCTACCAAAAAATACAAAAATCAGCCAGAGTCATAATCTGGTCTCAAAAGTAATAAATAGATAAAAAAAATTTAAAAAGCACTGGGCTGAGAGTTAAGTCAGAATAACAGATCTGTGTAAGTTTACATAATACCTATTTCCATGGTAAATTTTGCCAATTTCTACATCCTGTTGGAAGAGGGAAAGTCTCCCTCCCCACAAGATTCCTTCCTCTCCCTGAGTCTTCTAAATGTAGTAACAATGCCCAGTAGACTTTACCTCCTAAATGTTAAATCCACTTCCCTTGATTCAATCCCACTGCTATGATCTCAAATCAGCTCATTAGAAATTTGTATCTGGGACTTTGCAGCAGCCTCCTTATGGCATATTGATGTGGTTCTACCCTATCTTCTGTCCCCTCAGTTGTTCCCTCTGAATGCTGCAACCAGGGTGATATCTTTAAAATGCAAACCTGAGTATATTAGACTCCTTCCTGCCTCAAGCTCAATATTGCCCTCAATACAATCTTACCCATGTATTGGCCCCTACTTTGCTCCGTCCCTACATTCAAAGTCTCTCTCTCTCTCTCTTTCTCTCTCTCTCTCTCTTCCCCCTTCACCCCCCCCATGTTAAGGGGGTTTATTTTGTAAAAGCTTACATGGCAATATCCTAGACAGGATTTCAACAGGCACTTAACATACACTCAGTGACAAGATTAAGCACATTAACAGAGAAATTTTAAAAAACGAAGTCAGCAATAATATTTTATAGGACAATGAAACATTTCCCTGGAAGAAGAAAGAGACTCACCTGACAAAGAATAGGGATCATTTACAGCAGGAAAAATCAAATTTACATACTTTGAAATCATTATACAGTTAACAGAGAAAGTTCTGCTTAAAGTTATACCTCCTTTCTTGATTTCCATTAGAATAACAGTTATTATTAAATTATTAATTTAATATTAATATTAAATTAATAACTATTATTATTTAGTAGAAACCCTATTTTTAGTCCCACTAAAAATGCAAATTAGCTGGGCGTGGTGGCGTATGCCTGCAATCCCAACTACTTGGGAGGCTGAGGCAGGAGAATTGCTTGAACCAGGGAGGCGGAGGTTGTGGTGAGCCGAGATCATGCCACCGCACTCTAGCCTGGGCAACAAGAGTGAAACTCTATCTCAGAAAACACACACACACACACATACACACACACACACACACAAGGCATATAATTATCACTTCTAATTGAAGGCTGCTGCTAACTATAGTCATTGAAAACTATTATTAAAATTCCTGCTAAAAGGATAGCAACAGCAACCGCTAAAGCCATTCCACAATAAAAAAAACAACTGCCTCACTTTCATCCCCAGCAAAGGGCACTGCATTGGGTGTTTTCTTCCATCAGCTGTATGGTCTGTCACTCTGGTCTGATGATATCAGGCAAAATCATTCAATTGGTTACTTCTCTTTCTGGGATAGGTAGCTCTGTTGGGATAGCTATGGTTTCTTTACACCCTTTTAGATTAGCTCAAACCTGTGCCTGGTCTGCAACTCTATTCTAGTTTGTTCTCAAGATGTACACGAAATAGAAAAGGCTTTGAAAGACATGCTTGATCCAGAACATCAGAGGAGATACTCCAATGGGAAAACCAAAAAGGTTTTCCTATAACCAATGGCATTCAAGATAGCACCAATCTTCTTTTTTCCTGTGCCTCTCAGGATTCCACCACCAATACTTGCAAGTGTGTCCAATAGATGAAGAGGAACAAAAACAAGCATCACTTGGCTTACAAAGAAAAATAATATCTCAACGGTAAATACATAGGTAACCATACTCTTCAAAACTACAAGCAAAACACTTGCTACAAGTGTACACATACTGGCACACAGGAGAACAGTGAAGTGGGAGCACCACGCCTGCTCATGATTCCCTGTACCCACAGCATTGCCCATTCATACACTGGCTGCCACACCAAAGCCAGGGGGCAAACATGTAGACTACAACGGCCAGTTCACAGATGATGCCCTGAGTTTCCAGCTCTGCCACGTTAATTAGTCCTGCAAGAATGGTTCCAATCTCAATGATTCGTCACTCAATATATACCTATTCCAGTCTGAGCCATTGGAAAATGGCCCAGAATCACAGGGAATGCAGTCTAGGTGGGACTTATCGTTTGGAGACTATGGACCTTGGAGTGTTAGAATCTGCCTGGGCCAACACCACTTCCCAGTTCTTACTGTCTGCACTTCTTTTCCTCTACATGTGGTGGAATAAAACTCAGATCAATACCTGGGAAGGTTGGACTAGGGACTTTTCCCAGGACTGGGGCTCCTACATCCATTCAATATACTCAATATACACCTATACATCTATTTTATAATAAATAGATTAAAAATTTTAAAAAGCACTGGGCTGAGAGTTAAGTCAGAATGACAGGTCCATGTAAGTTTACATAAGGTGCAGCCTAGTACCTTAGGTAGTGGGCAGTGCACCAGCAGGCTCCACACTGTCCCAGATGGTAGCCAGGTCTCCACGCCCTTGAGGAGAGAGGGTTCTGTGGCAGCTGGGAGGAGCATGTGGGGAGATGGAAGATGGAAGACGGAAGCAGAGAGGAGACAGAAGAGTCAGGGACAGGAAGGAATCTTGTGGGGAGGAAGACTATCCCTCTTCCAACAGGATGTAGATATTGGGGGCAAAATTTACCACAGAAATAGATCTTATGTAAGCTTACATTGACCTGTCATTGTGACTTAACTCTCAGTCCAGTGCTTTTTAAAATTTTTAAGTCTATTTATTATAAAATAAATGTATAGGTGTATATTGAATATATTGAGTGGATGTAGGAGCCCCACTCCTGGGAACAGTCCCTAGTCCAACCTTCCCAGGTATTGATCTGAGTTTTTTTCTACCACATGTAGAGGAAAAGAAGTGCAGACAGGAAGAACTGGGAAGTGGTGTTGGCCCAGGCAGATTCTAACACTCCAAGGTCCACAGTCTCCAAACGAGAGTGCATTAAGTCCCACATAGACTGCATTCCCTGTGATTCCAGTGATATCTTAAGGCAAGATAATACCCTTGCTTTTGTAAATATCTCCTCTGCAGCCAGAACAGGAATGCTGCTGGAAGAGCAAGAATGAAAATCATCACATAAATTTGGGTGACATCAGGATCCACTTAAGAGCAGGACGATGCTCTCAGTATTGATGAAGATGGCCCAACAAGGAAAACAGCACAGCATCAAAATAAGGATTCCTCTTTGAAGTATGGTCCCCACCCATTCTAGGTTCTTGCCTACAAAGAATTGAGACATTAGCTTGTCACAAGGGGGGAGCTAATCCAGTTTTAACTGAAATCCCAGTAACATTCACAAGTATAACACTATCCAGCTTGACTGCTCAGATATCCACAGAATATGGGATGGTTGATGCTAATAAGAATGATCCTCAACTGTGCAAGGA